CCCCCGAGTTCCGCTCCACTCTGGAGCCTGCGCCTGTCTCAGAGAACTGGCCTTGGTCCTGAAGTCAGAGCGAGGCGGCCTGCAGAAGTGCTTCAACCTGAACTGGACCGTACTCTGAGTTGTTTTCTAGCAAAGTCGTCAAAGCTAAAGACCGAAGCGCTCCCGGTGTATATTCGGGCTGTTGTGCCTTCCCGTGGGTGTTGTTAGTGCACGTTTCACATTTTTGTCCAATGTCAAAACAAATCAAGATGACGACACCGCAAGCAACATGCTTTTCTTAATTGCGTGAGGGGGATCCAGATGTCTGCTAATTTATTTATTTTTCAACCCAATGTACTTTTACGCAGGTGGGCGCCGGTTCACACATCCGCCTCGCAGCTTTCAGATTCCGGGTTCGATCCTAGCACCGGCCTTTCTGTGTTGAGTTGACCTCCATTCTCGTGTGGGGTTTCTCCAGGTATCGTGGTTCCCTCCCACATGACAAAGACGTGCATATCGTATGAATTGCATTGTTTGGGTGGACGTTTGCCATTCTCCCGTAGTTGTTTTTTGCTGGCTGTAATTGGTGTTTGGAGTTGACCGTGATGACGACATGAGCAGGTTTATGAGAGATCTCCGACGAGATGCGCATGCAGTGTATGCACAGCAATGGTAGTGGTCAAGGATTAGCAGTCAATGAGCTTAGTGGTCTCTACAAACCATTATGTAAGGAGATTGACCCATGCTGCCAGAAGATGGGCAAAGGGTGCACCTTGGCCAATTTTCTTTGTTTTTTTTTTTTTTTTTTCTTTTTTGTAGCACAACGGAAATTTATTTGTTGTGTAACCTAAGCCACCATGTTGTAGCACATCAGGGTTAAAAGACCGTGGGATTTGTCATTATAGTTATTTTCTATTTCGTGTTTTGCTTTTTAAATTCAGTTAGTTTCAAGTTTCTTTTAGTTTTTATTAGTTTTATTTTTTTTCTTTTAATATATGGACTATTTGTCGAGTGCAAACTAAAAAAAAAAGGTAATTGTGCAATGAATTCAATAAATTAAAGTCAACTATAATTCTCAAATGACTGTTTGACCTTCCATCTTTTGCATGCACGTACGTAATGGACAGACTTTTTCGCCATGATTCTAGTTAACTTCCTTTAGTTTTATAATTGTGAGATGTAGTTCCATTTTTTTGTCCTTAAGGATGTCCTTTTGTATTTTATTTTGTTTAAAGGAAAAAAAAAATCTACATCCTTCAACTTCATTACAAGCGGTGTGTTTTTCGAAAGTCGCCTGGGAAATTGCCTTCCTCTGCCGCTGCTGTTGGTCTCATTTCACATTCAGTGTCCTCTGAAACCCCGCCCCCCCAAAAAAAGCTTCTCAACATCCATAAAAACTTAAAGTATATCCCTTCACTTGAAACGTAACACCCGGCATATTCTTTGTGCAGCGTGGCTGCTTAAAGATTAATGGCAAGTTAGTAGTATACATTATTCAGACATTTTTGGAGAGGTCCCACATGCATGGCCCGGTCTACCTTTTGCTCATGCTCAAGAGAGGCCTTTGTCCTTCCTTAAAAGCCTTCTTAGTGCATCGCAGTGTTTTCATACTCGCGTGTAGTTCGGTATGGCGCGGCGTACAGGACGATATTAATGTATACGGCTAAGATAACTCGACTCGGCCTTATCAGAGGGTCTATCTGTGCCATTATCAAACATCTGCATTTGTTCCTCCGGCTCAGGCTTCCTGCTTGTGGTTCTAAAAATAGCACAGTATTGATCCCCGTCAGTAAGAGGGCTACAATGATACATCGGCGTTTATCCACACAATGATTGATAATCAGCTGAGATCGATGTCGACGTCGAAAGCAAGTGGTTCTGAATTTCTTGCTTTGGTAATCCCGTGCCAACATTTCGGCCCAATTAAAGGCTCTTTCACACAGAGACCCGATGAAAAAAATTAATTCTGAATGCAAATAAAATAATCAATAAATCTGCCTTCGATACAGAACCCGGCAAAGGCGGAATATTTCCGGAACTGTGTTTTGATTTCACTCGGCCACACGTTACCCCGCAATCACGTGTAGATGATGTCATCATCACGCGAGACGGATAAGACAGGAGAAGTGAGTGTCAAGTATCAAAGTAAGTTATTTTAAACTAAAAAGGAAAAAAAAAAAACTTCCCTTAGCTTGATGCCGCTGTGTTAGCTCATCGGTGCACACTGTATGTTTTCAGAAAAGTGACTATGAGGCTTGGAAGAGCGCTTTGGACATTTTTTGGACTCTGAACTGTAGTAGTAGTCATAGTACTTGAATCGGGACTCGCTGATTAAACGGTAAACGAATAGCGAACGCGTAATTCGCGTGTAAGTCTGAGGACTGCTAAAGCTGTGATACTGCCTCGAAAGGCAGAGAACTGCCAGATCAAATGAAAAAGGTAGAAAAATGCCAGCTTCTTACGGCCATTGTAAAAGGAGCTTTACACAGAGGTTTCATCTTCGTCATCTCTGGCTCTGATACTAGCTTTGCAGTACGTTGACCCGCCCCTTCTGCCTTACGGCTTTGATAATATCTCTGAGAGCAGAATCTTGCTTCATCTTTGTGCCGTTTATGCAAAAGTGTGACGAGGGGGATAAAAAAAAAAATAAATAAAAAAAATCACTGGCTTTTCCGAACTTGGTAAAAGGCGCTTTACACACAGGTGACATCCCGACTCAGTTATGGATGCAATATTAGCTTTGAAAGTGAAAAATGTGGTGGTCGATCTTGTCTCCACCTTTTTATTCAGAACAGAAGGTGGAGAAAGCTGCTGAATTAATGAAGTCACTTGGCCCGCATTGCAAACATGTTGGCAGTGATTTGCAGAGCCTTTTGTGTGTTTTTTTTTTTTTTCCTCCTCCTGAACCGTTACCAGGTAATGGCGTCTCCGGCTTCCATCGATCCCAACTGAAGTTTTTCCGCTGCCTACCCGAGCTGCTTGACAAATGAGCAGCGCGATAGAGGCGGCAGTCGCTCTGTTTCCGTTATAGCTCTTGATTGTCGGACTACAAAGTGGACTAGATGTTGACGCGGGATCTCAATGCATCGTTGCAGTCCTAACTGGGCACGCTGCACCGTGGCCCGCGCGGGGCGGGCTGCATGCATTGCGGCTGAAGTGTGAAAGCAAGCGCTTAATTCAATGATGTCGGGAGAGCCGCACGCACTGTTCAGTGTGGCTGACTGCATCGTCACGCTTTGTGACCATCTCCCGAATAACCAAACGGCCATGCGGCAATCCAACGTGATCTTTTTTTTTTTTTCGTGCAGTTTGTGGGGGCTTTTTTCTTAGGGGGGGAGGGGGGGGGGGAGCTTTCACCT